GTGTGCACCCCCCTCTCTGCCCGCGGTGAGAGGTCTCAGCCGCCCCGCCCTCGACTGGTCCCGCGGCGTGCGTGCGCTGCTGTGGGCGCGGGCTCCGGGCCCGGGTAAGCGCTTGAGGGCGCGGGGGGCCCGGGGGTCCGGGGCTGGGGCGGGTCCGGCGCCTGGCGTCCCCTCCCTACCCGCCAGGGCTCGGCGGCGCTGTCACACAGTGCGCCCCTCCGGAAAGGCCCGGGACAGCGCGGTGTCCCCAAGCTCCAGGCCTGAACGGGCCAGCCCCGGCGGGCGGGTGGCCGCCTTCTCGACAGTTGGGAGCGCAGCTATTGACGGGTCCCGGGAGCCACTTTGGCGCTCTGTCCCGGTTGCCTGGGACGGGGACGGGATGGCTGGGGCCTGGTGGGACGGCTTCCACTGGGAAGCAGCGCACTTTCCCGCACGCACCCGCCTCAGACAGCCTTTGCTAGCGCGGGCTCCCCGAAGCTCGCGGTTGCCACTTGCAAACTAGGAAAACTTTCTTGCGCTCTGGATTCCCCAGGGCCGCAGCTGGAATGGCCGTGAGAACGAGTGGACCGGGTGGCTCACACTTCCTGAGTGCCCCTCCTGGTGCCTTTCTGGGGCCAGTTGTGTATGATCTCACTTCATCACAACAATATTTCAAAGTTACAATGATGAGAGCAGATATTTACAGATCCAAGTACTGCACAAAACATTAACTCAGTTCATTTGGTGCTGTTACCACCCGTTGCAGGTGGGGAAACTGAGGCACAGACCCGTGCCCTGATAAGGGTAGAGCAGGGTTGTGAGCCCCACCCCCCAAACCTGGTCCCAGACTGCTCACAACCTCTAAGCTGTTTGGCATTTGCCTTGTAAATAAGGAAAGTGATCCACACGCATAGGGAAGTAATTCCCCAGTGGTGGCCCTCTCCCAAGGGCTGGGCTGGAGGAGGGATTTGGACACCAGTGGGGAGAGATGCACCCAGTGTCCCCTGGTTACAAGGGCAGTGGAACTTCTGGTGAACCCGGAATGGGCCGTGGGAAGCACTTCTTGTCACTGCAGTCCCTGGTTTGGCTGAAGACTAGGCCAGGCCCCCTCTCACGGCCTCGGGGCAGCAGCTGTCGGGCAATAGATGCTGTGGGCACTAGCGTCCCTTCCTTCTCTGTAGGGTGACCCCTGCCTTCCTGATTGCAGCGACTGTCAGAGAGGGTACCCCAGTATGCACTGCTTAGGGGTCAATGATAGTCTTCTTTCCAGGAGCCCTCAGGAACCCCGAGAGCTGGAGTTTGGGGTCCCTCATATTCTGTCCTCCTGTGCCAGAGCCACCTTACTCTTCCTTGTGTGGCCCTCACCACATACCTGCCACCCACACATTTTAGGCCTGCACCAGAAATCCTGTGCCCTCCTCTTCTGCTGGCACTGAAATGGGCATCCTGCTCTGCTCATGCTCACCAGGCCTGGTCCTGCAGTGCCTCTTTCCCCTCGAGATCCCAGCCTGCTAAGTCACCTACATTGAGGCCAGGCCTCTGCCTTTGCCAGCTCAGTGCTGGGGATAGCCTTGCCCAGAAGACTTCCCACAACCTAACAGCTGTGACCTCCAGCTTCGCAGCTTTGCAGCTGGGTGGGAGGACCCTGCCATTTCAGTTTCAATCCCAAACGCCTTGTGTTAAAGGTGGATGTGAATATTTTAAAATTCTTATCAGTGCGTGTTTGCAGTATATAACATTTACATTCTTCGTGGGATGCTAGTACATGTACATAACGCATCTTAATTCCTTTTGCATCCAATTCTAATCCCCCCTCTCTTCCTCCTCCTCTGTCTCTTGCTCCCCTTCCCTTTTGCAAAAGGTTTATCTTTGTTTCCTACTGCCTATCTTTTTATTTTACTCTTTAATTTGTTTGTACTTTGGGTTTCTCATATAAGAGAAGCCGTGCAATATTTAAGCTGTGCTTCTGATTTATTTCATAGAACACTACAGTTGCAATCAACAAGTTGTATCTGTTTGCTGAGGTGGCCCTTAACAGAGCACCCCGGATGGGGGCTTAAGCAACAAGAGTTTACTTGGGCACAGATCTGGAGGCCAGAAACCTGGGCTCAAGATGTCAGCTGCCCTGCTTTTTTCCAGGGCCTCTGCCTTTGGCTTCCTGATGACAGTGGGCGTCTGCATGGCTCTGTGCTCATCTCAGATCATGTTGGAGTAGAGCCCACCTTCGGGACCTCATGTGGACTTAACCCCCTCTTTAAAGGCCCCATCTGTACATGTAGTCACACGTTGGGTCCTGGAGTTAGAATTTCTACATGGGAATTTTTGCAGGGGGACACATAATGGGATCTTTACACCGTGATGGAAGAAACAGGTGCTGTAACCATTGGTCAGAGAAAACAAGGCAGAATGAAGGCAGAGAGGTGAGCATGCTGTGAGAGAGAAAGCAGAGTGTGTCCTGGAAGCTGGCAGTGTCCCTGTGTCCTACACTTCCCGGCAACTCTGGGGCTCCCCAGGGCTGCAATGCTGGGCACATTCTTTTGGTTGTGGTGACTGTATATAAGCCCTTCTTCATGCAGCGTTAATAGGAGGAGCCTGGGGCACATGTCACTCACTATCTTCCCATCCATAGTTTCCACTTCCTGCCTTCCCAGTTCCCTGGGCCCCAGTGGGAGCCCTCAGGTGGGAAGGGCTGGCCTTGGGCTCTGGAAGCCAGCTGCGTGCCTTTGCTGCCTGCTCCTGGTGGCTGCTGGGGTGGGGGTCCCAGCTGCCCCTGGCTCACCAGGGAGCCCTGCTGTGGGGGCTCAGCCATCAGCAGGGAGTACAGTAGGACCAGGGGTAAGCAGCCTGCCAGGTAGGTGAGCACAAGTAAGATGTGGGCCAATTTCTCCACTTTCACTCTGCACCAGTGACTTCTGACAGCAGAGGAACCGCTACTGGAGGAGTCAGCACGAGCGGCAGGGCACTTTCCCTTCCATGTGAAGGTGAATTTAATCGCATCCCTAAAATGCTTTTTTGTCACATGAGGTGACATTCATAGGTTCCCAGGGGTTAACATAGGATACCTTGGCTTTTGTTATCTGTATTTCCAAGTGTCTCCCTGGGGCGGCTTTGTCCATCATCACTGTGGACACAGGGGTGGGGCAGGGGGCTCCGAACTATCCTTCAGGGCCTTAGAGTCCAGCTGAGCATTGGCCTAGTTCCTCGTCCCCCTGTGAATGTTACCTTAGTGACAGAGGCACTCACTGTCAAAGTTGTTAAGTTGCTCTGGAGAGTCCTGTGGGCCAGTGCCTGGCTTCTAAGAGATAAGATGACCCTGACATCAGAATGCTCATAGCGTTTGGTGTATGAAATCCACCATGAAAGCCGTAGAAGAGCATGACTACTATGCTTTGAACAGCTTGTCCCCTCTGAGGCTCAGGTGAGGTTTAATTTCCATCAAGAGGTAGGACTTGCAGAGGTGATCCAGGCTCCCTCCTGAAAGGATCAACCCATTCCTTCAGTTAATGGATTAATTGGCTTATGAGCTATCATGAGGGTGTGTCTGCCATGAAAGCCAGTGAGATAGGTCTTTTAGGCACCCAGTTTCTGGTGCTATGATGCCCTCTGCTATCCTAGGGCTCCGCATCACCAGACGTGGCCTCTTGTACTTGGGCCAGCACCTACTCAGTCTGTAGTGCTGTGTTGTTAGCCATCTAAAGCAGACTAAGACCTATTGCCAGCAGTTTACAAGGAAGAGGAAGAGTGCTTTTTCTATGACAGTCCCAGAACAACCTCATGGCTCCTCAGGGACCCATGCCCTCCTTGTCAAACATTCATATCTTTCTCCTCTTCTTTTCCCTCCTTGTTTTTTGCTTGGCTGCAGCACTGACCAGAGGACAAGGTTTTTGGTGACTCTGACATCTGAGGCCCAAAGTCCCTCCTGTGACCAGAAGTGTTAGGGGTCTGCTGCTGTGGCTTGGAATGGCCCATAGAATACCTCTGCTGTGGCTGTGTGGGCAGGGAAAGATGCTTCCTCGAGTGGGAGTGCCACCCTGGGCTGTAGGGAGTGGGGATGTGGGACCTGGTGAGGGTTCAGCTTAGACTGCACAGATAGAGCCTCCAGCACTCTGCACAAAGATCCTTTCTTGGTTCTGTCTGCCAGAGTCTCTTGATTGGTTTTCTGTTACTATAACAAAACACCTGGACCTGATAATTTATAAAGAATGGAAATGCCATTGGCTACCCCAGGACTCTCTTCCTCTCTTTACAAAGCCATTAATACTATCCTGAGGCTATATTCCTGACGAATCACTCCCAAAGGCCCCCTCTCCAACTGTTAGTCTATGGCTTTGGGGATTAACTTTCCAACACAAGAATGTTAGAGGGACACATTCAAGCCCTAGGACCACTGTCCACTCTGAACAGTGGCTCCTGGGAAAGAAAGATCACAGCACTCGGCCTTTCTGAGGTCTACTGATCTGGATAGCCAGGTGAATTGGGATAGCTCCAAAAAGATCAGCTCATGGGCAGAATGGCAGCCAGGGTGGACAGCCTCAGACATCTTTTAAGAAACCAAAAGACAGGAAGTAACGGGTGGGGCTGAAATTTTGCAGCACCTTTTGGACTGCTGGTGCAGTCCTTCCTTCCTCCCTGTCCCTGAGGCACATTTACTCCTGCACTTCAACTCTGAGAACCCAGTCCTGAGCCTGAGGAAGACCCTAAATCACCCCTGCTGCTCCAGCCCAGTGTGTAGACTTAGCACCTGCCACGCCCCTATGGAGCATCTGCGCTGGCTGGAGACAGGAAGGGAAAGGCAAGCTCAGGACTGTGGCAGACAGGCGGTCGGAGAGGGCAGCCTGACCCCAGCACTGCCCACGCTGATGATTGCGGGCCTCGGGGACACTGGCTGCAAACATGGCTGTGGGCTGGGCGTTCTCAAGAGATTCCAGCTCTGCAGATTCTTATGTGGAGTCTGATGAATTTTAAATGTCAGTGACTAGTTTTCTGAACAATATCTGGCCAGGGGGGTCATTGTTTGGCAACCATGGGAATGGGATCCCCCAGACATGAGAATGTGGAGCCCCAATATCCCCCAGGAGAGCTCCTGTGATTGCCAGTAAGGTGGGAGATGAGTAGGGGGCATGGGGCCACCAGCTCCAGCCATACAGGTCCGGAGCTACCATGGCTTTGAGGCCCTGCAGGCTCCTTGGCTGTGCACAGTGCCTCGTGGAGAGTAAAGTCTTTACTCACCATTTCCCCATTCTCGTTCTTTTGCAGAGGTCTGCTGGGCTCTCAATGTCACCGTGTCCCCAGGGCCTGTAGTTGACTACCTAGAGGGGGACAATGCCACTCTCTGGTGCCACGTGTCCCAGAAGAGGCTCAAGGACAGCCTACTGGCCGTGCGCTGGTTTTTCGTAGGTGCCAACAGCCCAGAGGCCTTGATGGTAAAGATGACCAAGCTCCGGGCTGTACAGTACTATGGGAACTTCAGCCGTAGTGTGCACCGCCGGAGGCTGCGGCTGCTGGAAGAGCAGTGTGGGGAGCTGTACAGGCTCTCAGTGTTGATGCTGCGGCCAACTGACCAGGGCCAGTATGTCTGCCGTGTGCAGGAGATCAGCAAGCACCGGAACAAGTGGACGGCCTGGTCCAATGGCTCCTCGGCCACGGAGATGAGAGGTAAGATGGGGAGAGTGTGGAGGAGGGGAAGGACCTGGTCCCAGCTAAGGTCACCATGCAGGGGCCTGTGTTAGCTCTACCAAGAATCTTCATGGGAGAAGACTGGCTATGTGCTCTCAGGTGAGCGACTGGACACTCATTAGGTTGCCGAGGACAGACTACATTCAGCAGGGACTGTTGCAAGAGGGCAGAGATCTACCTTGACTATCTCTGCAGAGGGCTGGGCTGCTTTAGGGAAGACAGAAGGAGTTGGATGTGGAAGCTATGGAGAGTGGTGGAAGCGGATGGGGTCTGGTTCTCTGGTAACCCTGGGACCTGCCTGGGTTTGCTAAGGAGCTTCCAAAAGCTGAATCCTGCCTTCTCACAGAGGCTGGGGACAGGGTCTGCCTCCAGGTGCTGCAGAACCCACAGAAACTCTTTGCGCATCCCTGGGGCTCCTAGGTGGCCAGGCATGCTCTGGAGAGGGGCTCAGCCCTGGCAAGTGGCTGGAAGACTCAGGGGGTCCCGGTTTTCCAGGCTGGCTGGGTGTGCCCAGTGAGGATTCTCTATCAGAGCCCAGCCTGCAGCTCAGATCACCTCAGCTCTGTTCACCTGGCTGGGCTCACAAGGGCGCCGACAGAGACGCCCACTTTGGCCAGGAGGCCCTGATGTGAATCAGGGCTCTGAAAGCAATCAGTGGCTCTGATGCATCGCCTAGTGGATGCGATCAAAGCTCAGGCTAAGAAATCCTTCAGAAAGGGGGCCAAGGCCCAGAGACAGCACCTCTTCCAGGAGACGGACAGGAGGCATACACTGCTTCCCAGACAACATGGCCTGTCAGTGCCACCTTGAGGGGTGGCCATGGCTTGTCATCAGAGACCCAAAAGGAGGACACCTCTTGCCAGTGTCATAAGGCTTTCTGTAGTGCACTCAAATTATATCTTTGGTTGTTTGGAACTAGGATTTAGTGCATCAGAAGATCTAGAGGATTGCAGGGTATGAAAATACAAAAAATGGTCTAGCTCTGTTATATATATAATATTAAGTAATATTAAAGGTCTTACAATTATTATTTTGATAAGCTTTTTTGTTTTGATTTGTTTTAGTTTCCTGTTTTATTGTTTGTTTATTTGTTAGTTTTTTGAGACAAGGTCTTGCTGTGTAGTTCAGGCTGGTCTTGGACTCACAGTAATCCTTCTGCCTCAGTTTCTAGAGGATTGTGTCACCATGCTTGGCTGGTAAGCCTTTTTAAGGGATAAAACTCAACTGTGTGAGGTACTGTCAGTGTGATGCATGAATAAGGAGCATGTTAAAGTGAAGTAGTTTATATAGGTGGTCTTTAAAGCAGCCCCTTGCCTTTGGAGTTTGCAGTATTATACCATTAGTAAGCACAGAACAATGTATGAACTAAAATGTTGTGCACTTTTTCATCTTTAGCAAATTAATTCAAGAAAACAAATGACTATTAGTATAAATATGTATTTTGGCATAGGAAACAAAAAGAATTACATAAGAAGCACAGGGGCTAAGGGGAGAACGCTGGGTATCAATTAGCCATGCATGTGTGATTAATGTAATTTTTATATTCTTGTCACAGCACATTCTAGAATCATATGCTAAATCTCTTGGGAGTGATGAAGCTCTGTGATTAGAACATATAAAAAGGTCTGTTTCCTTCAAGTAAGCATGATCATCTAGCTTTAGAACTGACTTCAGTGAGTCTAACCGGTTCATTCTAGAACATTCACAAGGAACTTGCTCCAAAAGACTTCACTGGAAATAAGACTTTTCCCTTTCATCTCCTCTTCTCCCTCCTCTCCCTTTCCCTCTCCCTCCTGCCTCTTCCCTCCCATTTCTTTATTTGTCTACTCCCTTCCCCTCTGCTTACTGTGCCTTTTCTTTCTCCTCTTCCTCTCCAGCTGTCTGTCTGTCTGCCACCCCACCTCCCTCTACCTCTGACCTGGAAGTGGTTCTGATCTCACATGCTGCTGCCTTTCTCACTAGGTCTGCCCAGAATCAGCCTGCAGCTGACCATGGCTTGCTGGTGGAAAGACACAAAGCCTCAAGAAATAATGACCATGCTTCCAGGGGGTTACAAAAAGGGACTAAGGAGGGTCACCCTTAAGTAAATGGCCTGAAGCCTGACAGGCTATGTAGTTTGATCTGTGCTTTTCACAAAGGGGAGCTGGTGAGGCTTGGCTCAGTCATCTCCTTTCCAATGAGGGCTGGGCTCAGACTTGCAGCTGTCTACCCAGGTCACCTTTCTCTGAGCCTTGTGTCTGGTTCATCATCAGGGACCTTGTTTACCTAAATCTGAATCTCCTGTTGGTAGTGGTTATGTGGAAAACAAAAACTGAAGTGAAAGGTGTAATGATCAATTCTGCAGGCAAAGGCTTTGGGTTGGAATATTAAGGAAGGGTGACAGAGATGCTTAGGAGTGGGTTCCTCACCCTCCAGACACATGTTTTTCTCCCCTTCTCCAGCCTTCCAGGGCCATAGTTTTTGTTTCCTCCACATTTGCTTTACTTCCTTCTTTCTGCTGGATTTTCCAACCATCCATGGGAGAAGAAACCATGCTTGGGATTTCCCTTATGACACTGCTCCACCCTGTGCCCTTCACCATGGACTCAATTGAGAGTTTCTTCCTGCACGCTCTTACCTGAAGCGAAACTGTCTTTCACTGTGAACTTCCTGAGGGAAGGACCTGTCTCTCGTCATCCCTCTGCAGCGAGCTCCTCCCCAGCAGACTGAGGGTGACTCTCACGCAGACAGGCATGGAACAGTGCCTGCACAGAGCACTTGCCAGGGGAGTGTCAGCTCTCATTATTTGTTCTTGATTTCCATATGCTGATTGTTTCCTATTGCAGAAATAACGTAGTTTAATCACAGAAAACATGGAAAAATACTGAAAGGATTTAAAGAAGAAAGTAAAACTGACTTTCCAAGTCTCCATTGCAATGCAATCTGACATTTGGTATCAGTCCTCTCAGTTATTTCATGCAAATAAAAACACACAATCTCATGTCATTCTTAGCATAAATACTGCCCTATGCCTGGCTTTTCTGACAGTACTAAACAGTCCACATGTTGTCTTTTGTTAACTATGGTTCTACAGCATGATTTTTATAGTGGAGTAGCAAGCATGGTGTGGATATTTCACAATTTAGCTTCCTACTTGTTACTGGACATGTAAGATATGCTAAATCCTTGTCAGGTAACTTCAGCTAATGTCCTTGTACTTAGTATAACATCCTAGAAATAAGATATTGGTCAAAGAGTTCCCCTACTTAAGGATAGATACAATTCAAAGATCTGAACTCACCTCTAGAGTAACTAATGGATTTCTAGTCTCACCAGCATTGAAAAATGCTTTCTCCTGTGGCTTGGTCTCCATCATGGTGATGGTTAACTGTGATGCGTTAACTGGGCTGAGAGATGCCCAGGGAGCTGGTAACACATTCTTTCCAGGTGTGTTGTTTCTGTTTCTCTACTATAATCATATGTACCTTTGGAGGATGCTAATGATGATGACAATGGACATGTGGCTCAAGACTGACCTTCAGTTCATGCTTGATGGATGCACAGAAGTTTCTGGTTTCTCAGGTCCACATGCTGGCTGCTCCCCCTGAACATAGGAGGCATGGTGAAAGGATGAAGGCTTTATTCAAAACCAACTCTGAGGAGATGGGGGCGTGCCTCAGAGTACTACCAGTCACCCTGTCACTGTGTGCAGGTGGGCAGGGGCCTTTATATAAGGAAGATGGGAGAGGAAATGCAGTGAGACACAGACAACTCTAGCTGGCTTTTCCCGCTGCCCCTGAGGCCATTCTCTACTCTTTCCATATGGAAAGGAAGCTGGACTCTGACCTCCTGGGCCAGCATCTGAGTGTTCTCTCCATTCACCTGAGCTGAAGAGAGGAGGGCATGGTGGTTTATGCACTGAGTATGAGGAAGTTTGGAGAAGTGGATCATCTTTAAAAGAAAAATTCGAACTTTTAAAGACCCCTATGGTCCCATGGTTACCCAAAGTGCTCTTGGTGGGCCCACCAGCACCTTGTGCTGTGGATGCTTTTGGTTTGGGCGTGACGAGGTGGATGCTGGCACCATCTGGGAGACCTTGCCTCTTTCCTTGGCCTGTTCCAACTGCACATCTCATTCAATGGCCTGTCTCCCCTCCTTTTCCCTCAAGCTTCTTTTGTGTGTGCCAACCTGTGGGAATCCCTCTGCTGAGGACGCCCTGGGGATTCTGGTTTGGGCAAGGCTGATCCAACACTGTCGTTACTGCACTGCTTTAGTCATCTGCTGTGGCATAGGAAGGATGTAGAGTAATTATGGGTGGAAGAGTCAAACAAAGCAAAGAGTGAAAAGTGAAAAGCCATCTTTCCCCACCCCCACCAAAAGTCCCCTGTTGAGCTTGCAAGTCCTTATTTTACTCATGCGTGACCACATGGGTACAGGTACATTTTAACAAGGACTTTCATATTGCTTTATGGTTATTGCTGAGTTTTTGACTTTTAAAAATTATATTCTGTATTGTATTTATATCCAGTGACAAATAGCATCAAAATTATTACAGTATAAAAATCTAAAATCATCATGGAAGATAAGGCCTAAGCTTTTATTTTAGTTGTTCCCTTTTTAAAACTTTGTAATGTGCTATAAGTAGATACTCATGAAGAAAATATAAAAAGCACATGTCTTGCCTTTACAAAAAAATAAAACAAAATTTCACAACAAAATAATCAAAGAATAATTAATACACTGTGTATCATGATAATAAAGGATGGCCAAAATGTTGCTTAGAAGTACAAATAATAGACTGTACTCTTTGTTTCTCTTTGTTTATTGAAAAAAATTTTGTCCTTTGTTTTTTCCCTTTTTTATATCTAAGATATTAGAAATTAGCTTCAGTACCTCAAAAAAAAAAAAAAAGAAAGAAAGAAAGAAAACGAAAAAGAAAGAAAGAAAAGAAAAAAAAGTCTATATTATTTATATTCAATCTGGAACTTTTAAAATAAAAG